TTCTATGGCCTTCTTCATAGAAATCTATTTGTATGAATGAACTCAGAATAAATTAAATAGCATTCCAATTTTTTCCTTTTGGTCTCTTTGGGACTTTTTCTTATGTCTTAGACTTGTATTGGTATTATGTAATATTTTTCCCCATAGAGTTATTTTAGTTATTTATACATTCTGTCTGAGTGTTCTTATCTCAGGAGCCAAACATTGCCTTCTGCAGTTTCATTTGTCTCACAGTTGCTACTCTTTTTTGACTTTGGTTGATGCTGCCGTATGGATTTACCAGGAAAGAATGATGTCCTCATTTTTATCTGTCTTCTTCTGGTCATTCAGCTATTTGATTATTTGTAGATGTGCATGCAATAAAGATGCTTTCCAGTGTAGATGAACAGTTTCTCTCTTGAACAATATTTCTCCCTCCATCCATATCTCTGATTATGCAAATGTAAATAGCCACATTAGATGTATCAAGTTCTGCTTACCACGAAAAGATGAAGCAATGGTTTGAATTTTCCTTCTATCTCTCACCTGATGCTCAGTGTTCATTACTTAAACATTTCCAGGTGTTGCTCTGATCTGTTTTTCTTGTTTCTTTTAGGTGCCATGTTCTTGTCTGTTTTGTTTTTGTGTCCATGGTTATTGATAGTTTTGAAAACACCTACAAATGGCTAAAACATCATTTAACTTCCAAGCAAATTTGTGTAACTGGATCAGAATCTTTATTTACTTTTTTCTTCTGAAAATACCTAAGTTTTCCTTCTTCAGGTATCTGAAACACTTGCTATATGCATGTAATATGCTGCACAGGATCCCTGAAAATTGAATTTTCATTTTGCTTTTGTGGTGTGTTTTTGCTGTATATTCTTTACCTGTGTATAGTCTCAAAGTACGCAGGTGTGTATCAAGTTGCATTTTCACCATTGCATTGCAGGGGAGACTGTGAATGCCTTTTTGAACAAGGTAGTGATTTTCAGTAGATAGGACAGGCACTTCATGCCACTTTGTGTTTGCACTCTGGGTAAAGTTTTCAGAATGGCAAAATCACTGATCTGGCACTGAAGTGTTTTAGACACTTCTGGAAATGCTGTTTTTCTTCCCCCCTTGCGGAGCCACTATGAGACTTTCTAATGCATTGTTACCAGCACATGGCAGTAATTCAGATATGGCTGTGTTGATGGGACACCATGCAGGCAGTCTTTTCTTCTGCTTTCCTTTCAGCTAGTCATTTTCTCATTTGGATATGAGAGTGTTGTATAGCAAGGGTGAATGCTGTGGTCTTTTAGATCCACATGTGCTGGCATGGATTAAACTGCCTGCTAATGTTGTTATTCTTCCTGTGCAGGTAATCTGTAGGTAGAGATGTTAGTTCAAAATTCTGGTCATAAGATTTGCAACATTGCCACTGTTCTTCTGTGTTCGACTGCATCAATTACCTTTAATTTTTGCCTCTTGGCATGACTATAGGAGTCCTTCTTTTACCTCAGAACATCCCATGCCATTAGCTTGCTTTTGGAGTTGCACAGTAAGGTCCTTATTTCACTTTGGATAAAATAGTTTTTAAAAATGGATCCCGTGTGTGTGTTTTATTAAGTTACCAGGGCTAAGTATTCTGTCATTTATTTTCTTGTGGTACTTTGAGGCTGTTTTATGAAAAAGAAAACATCTTTTTTTTTTGTTAACATGTAATCAGTACTTCCTAGTGTTTAATTTTTCTTCATTTTCTCCCTCTGTATGTTTTTTTTTTTTACTTCTTGTTTTACATTGCTTCATATAATTTCATTAACTCTTCCCTTTGCTTATTTTAATGTCTTTCTTCTGTTTTCTGACTTTGATATAGTCTTCTATGGCCACTTTATTTTTTTCACACGAGTGGCTGGACCATCTTCCTGCTTCTGACCAAGATTGTTAATGATCTCCTTGTGTAATCCCAACCCTTTTAGCCATGGATACAAGCAGGAAGACTGAAGTGGAACTTACGTTGCGTGTAGCCATTACTCAGTTGTTGGGCAGTTTTGAGGATAAAACTCTTCTCTCTTCTTACTTCCTTCTTCAGTCTTAACTTCCTTCTTCAGTCTTAACATCCGGGCATTTTGTTGTTGCAGCAACACCAGCAAAAGGTGTCCATCATTTTGATGCACACCAGCTCAAAACCTGAGTAAATGCAAAGGCACTTATGGTACTTTGTTATCATCTAAGTCAGTTTGGCATACGCAGAGTAGTTTGGAACATCAGCCTGCTCTTTCAGCAGGTGTAGAGTAGGTGCACACATGGAAGTGCTTTGCCAGTTTGAGGCAGTGCTGTTCCTTAAAAGTCATTGTACCATTGCTCATTGTCCGTGACTTTTTGATTTTTTAATTTTTGATTTGTCTCACTAGTCCTTTCCTCAGTTGCTGTGTTGTTGTTTGTTTGTTTGATTGTTGTTGTTTTTAAATCCCAACTTCCAGCCCCCATCACTTGTTTCTTACTTTCTCGCATTCCCATCTGTGCTGTGTGCTAAAAGGCATGGTTGGAAGCAACTCAAGGCAGTTTCCATCCTTCCACTACCTTCACTCATTTCAGAGTGGGCATGAGCAGTGTGTGGTTCAGTGCTCACTGAAAGTTCATGGAAAACCTCACATGCCTTTATTTGGCTTTGAACTTTATCCAAAGTGTTCCTGGTGGAGCTGGGTTGCACCTGCATGCTAGGATAGCTGTCTGGCAAGCTGATCCTCAGAAACTGACAGAAGCCAAATACACGTGTTAATGATGGGTATTTTTCTTAAGGAAGTACTAAATCTTGCACTTCAGAAGGGTAGTAAAATAATGATAGCTTTTGGCAAGGCAAAAATGGAAGAATATTCAGACAGAGCTAGGAACAGGCATGTTACCATTGTTTAAGACTCTTCATATAAGCTCTTCAGATTTTTTTTCCCCCTGTATCATAACTCTTAGTTGTAACAGAATGATCGACTAAAAATTATAAGGTGACCAGTGTAAATATTTAAAGGTAGGATTTGGTTTTGGCTGTTCCTGATGACAAGGAAAGCTACCTTGTACACTTTTCTTCCTGTGGGAATAATCATGTAGCTATCTACTTCTGCAATTTTCATGTGCCAGATTCCACAAAAGTATATAAATACCCAACTGAAAGTTCCAAAACTGGAATAATAGACACCAGACATCTTTTTTAAACCCACAGATTTCTTAGTGGTGGACATCACTGAGGCCTTGGCTGGGAATCTTCATGATGTGTTGTAAAATTTTGATGCCTTCTTTTGGAGGAAGAGAACAGTAAATTACTAACTAAATTGCTAATTACTAACTTTAATCTAATGGAAGCCTGCTTCAAACAAAAGGGAAAAGAAAGACTTGACATTTGAATTGGTAGAGCTCACTGTGAGTCCTCCATGGTGAGGGAACCTGCTGTAGAATTGGTGAAAACAGGACTTGATAAATGCTGTATTGTAATCCAGCCTCTGTTCATGAGACTTGGATAGGAAAAACAAAAAGTATTTAATTTAACCAGAATCTTTCATGTCTCTGCTTTTGTCTTTGCTGTACACCTGGAGATGAAGCCAGGGGAGCCTGGAGACATTTATCTCCAGCTTGTATTTTTTTTTTCTCGTGTTGGTTTGTTTTTTTGTTTCTCAGGCATGTATAACCCTCTTTTGTATTTATGAGAAATGAGGGGTGAGCATTTTACTCTTTTGAAGACAGGTGGAGAAGTCCCCATGCTGAGTGCTGTATAGGCCTGTTTGCCTTTTGTTTCTCCTTACTAATTGGTTAGAATGGATGGTATTAAGTTCCCGCAAGTATGTCTGTTAGAGAATTCCTGCATATCTAGCCTCAGGGAATTAAGCTTTGGAAAATGAAGTACCCATCAAAGCAGGAGCTGGCTGGTACAGTTTGTATCCCGACTTCTTTTCTTTTTCTCTCTTCTTTTTTTCCTTCTTCCAAAAAGCTTAAGAAAAGAGTCTTTTGTCTTCTTTTCATGAAAGTTACACTGAAATTCATCTGTGCTTTATTCATTTGCTTTCACTTGTGCCATTCATGGGCAGCTGTGGGTTACACAGGACAAAGAGATGAATTCCTAACCTCCACATATAAGCAGTGTGCCGGAAAACGTTCAACACCCACACCTCCCTTTTTTGCAGGGTCCAAGTAGAAGTATTACAGCTTTTAGTGTCAGTACTGAGATACCTCTGGACTGTGTTTTTCCACATGCCATTAAAATGGTGTGACAGAGTTTTGCTGGCTTGTAGAATGGAGGTGGCTATACAGATTTATCTTTTTCTCAGTATATCAAAGCTTAGTAACTTCTAAGGAAATGTGGTTTAGAAGTTTGCTTTACTGAAATTTATGAGTAAATATCTTTTTTCCATGATGACTTGATTTCAAACATCCTCAACTCAGAGTATTTGAATATGTTTTGTGAAGACCTCTTCAACTGTGACAAAGTAAAATTTCATCTTTTCGCTAGTTAATTTTCTGTGTGGGTTTCTCAAATAATTCCATGAATGATTAGGGAAGAGTATCCATTTCTTTTTTCTTTACCATTTTTTCCCCTATTACACAGGCAACTCACATGTATCCTATGCCAGATTTTTATCTGGCGTGAATTGGCATAAAAAATTTGAAAGAACCTGGTCTGACTGATTTGCCAAATGCATAAGTGCTCAGCAGTATGATTAATATGGTTTACCTTCATAAATTAAAAATGTCTTAAGGCTTCTTTTTAAACTACTTTTAACTTAAACCTGTCACTTCTTTTTTCCCTCCCCAAATCAGATTTTAAAAAGCATAATTTATACTGATCAACTTTTATATTGTAGATTGCATGTTAGGTATAGAATTGATATACCTCTTCTTCTTAAGCCCTTCAGAATGCTGTCAGCGGATTTCATAACTGATGTCTTTCCCCTGGTCAACCCTCTCTAAAAGCCAATAGGTGCTGGAGCATGTCTTGAACCTTTTTAGGTTTGCTGATCCACACGGAATAATAGCTTCTCTCTGTTTCTCTACAGACTCTTCATACTCAGAGCCTCCTGATGTTCAACAGCAGTTGAACCACTACCAGTCTGCAGCTTTAGCCAGGAACAACAACAATGTCAGTCCAATCCCACTTTCAGGGAGTGCTGCAGGAATGGAAAAAACGGAAGCCATCCTTAACTGTGAATTTTGTGAATTCTCCTCGGGTTACATACAGAGCATTCGGCGTCATTACCGTGACAAGCATGGAGGGAAAAAACTCTTCAAGTGCAAAGATTGTTCCTTTTATACAGGCTTTAAGTAAGTACTGTGGAAAACAGATAAACTGAACTCACAAGGATTTTTTAGCACTTGAAAAGACTTCTGAGATCTTTGAGAGCTGGCTGTAGCTAACAGAAACATGGCCACTGCTGACCAGAGAGAGGAACATAGGAAATGCCATGCCAGATCACAGCAGCATCCATGTAATCCATTTTCCTCTCTCTTACAACAGCCGGTACCATCTGCTGCAGACGAAAGCACAGTGAGTCCTTGCAGTAGCTTTTACTTGCTGAGGGAGATGGTACAGGTAGTGCTTTTTCCTTAACATACGCAAGTAGAGGGTTTTCCTTATCCTCAGGTGTGAAAATGTTCTCTTAAAAAAAAAGGTCATTTCCCGGTGAGACTGGCATGAAGCATGAGAAAAAAAACACAACACACACAAGTGTTTTAAGGAGATATGAAAAGTTATATCCCTTTCTGAAGAAACCTCTCTCATGTAATTTTATTTCTCCCATTGTTTATCTAGCTGGAGTGTGTTCTCCAGAGTAACTGATAGCACACAGAGACATTTCAGCAAATCCAATTAGATGTTGCAGAATGTAAAATCTCAGCTGTCATTGTGTGTGTATTTTAGCTGTTGTTCCCTAAGGATAAAAGGCTTATGCACCTGTGCATCATTTCACTCTGATATGCTGGACCCTCAAGCCTAAGTTCCCTAGCTGCCTTTTGAGTTCTGAAATGTGTTAAGTACTTAGGAGACTGGTGACAGTAAATAGTATGATTGGGTACAGGAAAGATGTTGTGTTAAAGGAAATGTTGAGCACAAACCTTATAAATTTCCACAAGAACAACCTTTTTTAATTTATTATTTATTTATACCTTCAGACCCCCCCTGCCTTTATGGTACAATTATGCTTTATACCCTTATTGCTATCTGTCTTAAAGATTACCAGTTATCATTAGATCCATTAAATCTGCTCACATCTTCCTAGTGCCTTTTACTGAGATTAATTGAAATCATCTTAAATCAAATGGCAATTAAAGATACACATACTTGCATAAAAGAGTTGTATTTCTTCATGTGGTGTCTCAAACTTTCAAGAACTAAGTTTTCTTGTGGAAGTACACTATGTTTTCTCCCTTTAAAGAAAAGGGGTAAAAAAGCCCATACAAACCCCCTCTTAAAATCACTGTAGAAACTTAAATGCATGAAAGCACTCACTGAAGTTGATAGAAATACACCTGTAAAATTCGATGATGATGATCACTTGGTTGTGCCCAGAGCCACTTGTGTTAGTAAGTTGTTCAAGCTAGCAGTCTTGCAGAATTTAAGTGAGGACTTTTAACTCAAGTTCAGTGTGTCAATCTCACTAGTTTTTGCAGACTACCTTAGGAAAAAACAACAACAACAACAACAAAACAACTAAGTCCTCCAAGTTTACAGAGAACTCTCATTTCAGTAGTTGAGCTTGTGGTTAGGTAGATATATAGTTACTTTCCTCTGTATGGAGGAAGAGTTGCACGTCTCTTACAACTTCTAAGTATGCCTGTAATGTAATATCACAATAGTCTTGTCTTACAAAGACAGAGGTGGTTAAGAGTATTATTTGCCTCCAAAAATACGTCTGTATTCACCCCTGCAGTCCAGAACAGTTAGTTGCTAACAAATATTTTTTGTTAGAAAAAATACACAGAATATTTCAGCCTGAGGACAAATAATGAACATAGAAGATGGCAATTCTTTTGCTATCTTAACTATAGCAATGTGACTATAGAGCAATCCATGCAGAATATATTGTCAGAATGTGTGCCAGTTACTTGAGGATACAAGCCTGCAAATACTTTTGCTCATGTGTTACTCATGTGAGTCGCCCTACTGCAATGCCATGTGGCACTGTGAAGACAAGACTGAGTGGTATCTGTACCATTTTACAAGACACTTTCCTTATAGAGCCATGACACTTCATCGTTCACTGCACACCTCTTTTGACTGCTTCCATCTCTCCCTCCTGTTTCACAGATCTGCTTTTACTATGCACGTGGAAGCTGGGCATTCGGCAGTTCCTGAGGAAGGACCCAAAGACCTTCGCTGTCCTCTTTGCCTATATCACACCAAATACAAACGCAACATGATTGACCACATAGTTCTGCACAGAGGTAATGATATCCCTTTATGTGTCTGTCTGATGAGGGAAATGTTGAACAACATCCGTGTATTCCAGACTGGCGTCATTAAATTTTCACCTCTCCGTGCTTGAGCACAAGTATGTTGAATAGGCCATTAGGATACCAATAGGACATCAAGCCTTCGGTATTTTTTGTTCTTTTCTAAATGATACATCTTAATAGTTTCCTGTAAAATTCAAATCTGTTGAAACAGGACAAATTCAACCTCTCTAAAGTAAAGCTTAAAAACAATTTTAATAGTCTTCAAGCACCTATTTACCAAGAGTAGCACTATTTTACAGCTTTGATCTAGGCCAAAGTTGTATCCTGCTTTTGTCCTTGTTATTGTAAAGTCCTTGCTATCAAAAACTCTGGGGTACAGTATACCAACTTACTGTAGCGGACCCAGAATATCTCTTGATTACTTCCTTGAAATCTTTCTCTTCAGTATGTGTCACTGTTCTTAGGATCAAAACAAGAATGATCATATTTTTTTTTTCTTTAAGACTTCATTTCTTTCTGCTCTTCTCCCTTCTTTTTTTAACCCAGCTAAAAATGGGATTAGGGATTTCTATATTGTATTAACTGCAGGCTTGCTAGCTCAGAAGAGACAGCTGTTTGGGCTCTCTGGGCTGGGATTCCTGCCCATAGCTATCACATTTGATGCTTGTAGATGGTCTGTTGGCTGCCGAAATCCAAACCCATGTGTTGGGATGGCACTCTGCCTGCTTGCAGGTTGGGCAGAGTTTCACAGTAGGATACTGGTGGTGTGCAAACACAAGTTTTGCATGCCATCTTTTTCCTGGAGAAGATCCTGGTGTGACAAGCGCTATCATAATTCCTTATAACATAGCACTTACCACTGTTGGTTAAAGTCCTTCTTGTACCAAAGGACTGAGGTTGGCAGACTTGATACATATTTCTATCTCCTAGCACAGCTATTCTGATGAAACATCTGGGAAAAAATGACCTGTCAGTGATTCAAAAAGCACATCACAAAGCTGCCTTATTTGGTTGTAAAAGTTTGGCAGATGCTTTTACTTCCTGTCTTTGAAGGTGTTGCAGTGTCAGATTTTGCCCAGCTTCAGGGCATATTCCACAATTATCTCTCTTCAGAAGAGAGGAAGGTTTAGTTAACCCCTGTACAGTAGACTGTGTGGTTCCAAGTGATGCCAAGGTGTGCTCTTGTTTGTGGCTGTGCCAGCGCACCAGTGAACGCTACCAAACATTTAAAATACAGATAGACGGAGGAAAGAACATGATGGGTTCAGTTAGGGAAGTTTCCATCAAACATAGACTTTATGCTAGGAGTATCTAGTTGCAGTAGCGAAAGAGCACTTCATGTAGCTGTGCTGCCTTTACAGAGGTATTTCTGACCCATTGCAAGGAGGTGGTTACCTCCTGAGTAGGGGACACTCTGGACCTGTTCTTTTGTTTTCCTGTTGTTTCAAATGCACAAACTAGCCTTGAGCCATAGTGCTGCTGGAAAAACAAAACAAAACAAAACAAAAAAACAACCCGCTAGAGCACTGGAAGAGGTAAAACAGTAAAAGTTTTAATAAACAGAACAACAATAAAAAAGAAAAAAGAAAAAAAGGCACCCCTACAATTTTTGACAAGAAGTAACATGCACTGAGAGAGAATGAGAGATGGTGAATACAGTCTGGAATAGCCTTCTTCTTTTATAGTCATTGCACTGATAAAATAAGAGTACAGTTGTGATCTGTGGTCAAAGAAGATCATTTTTTAGGTAGATGGTGTGGTGCAGTGCGTAAAATCAAAAGTGAAGGATTTGATCCATTTCATGTTCCGCCTGTGTAAAAAGGCACATTTACAGATGCATAACTCTTACCTTACTTCCAAATTGCTGCACCTGTAGTCCTTCGTGAAACAGCATGCACTTGAAATAGAGAGTATATTTACCTCTTAATTAGGGTCTGCGGAAGTTGACTTTTACAGGCCTAAAGCATTATAAGCTCTAAGGCTGAATGGCTTGTGAGAAATAATTAGAAAACAAATTTGCTTCACCTGGAGGACACGGGCAAGCAGGATGCCTTCAAGAGCCTTCTTGCATGTGTAACCTATTCTGTTCAATCAATTCCATATCAGTTTAAAAGCTGTTCACCATCCCTTTTGCAGGCACAGGTGGAGCACAGATTTGTTGCCTTTTGGTGGGCCATATCTGGGGACTGACACATCTAGAGGATTTGATCCTCAGCTATGTGGGCAGGTGAAGAGACAGAGTGTGGTTCTTGAGTTCTTTCTAGCTTTTCTGGCAGGCAAGCACGGGAACCTTCTACAGAGGAGACAGAAATCTCACTCCATGGCCAGCAGAACTACTGGCCTTTAACTTAGTCTGGACAGTGTAATTAGGTTACATTATCCTGTCCAGTAGCATTTTGGAACACATTGATATTTTTCCAGGGCTGAATGCAACTTACCAAGATCAGTGTTAGGTCTTCTTTAAAGTCCTTGGGGAATTATATTTTCTTCTTTTAGTGATCATTTTACTCTCTTGCTGGTTGAAATGATGATTTTGTTCTTCCATTTAATAGAAACTGCACTGATTTCTCTCAAATAGTAAGTTCAAGATAAAAAATGCAAATTTCCAACTTAATCTACCCCACAAAAGACTTCATTGCTGCCATGTTCCTTACACATGGTTGTTTCTGCTGTTATCCCTTGTACACACAGCTTCATTCATACATGCAGAACCCTTGTAGTCTACTTGCTTTTGGCTAATGAAACACAAAATGCTGTGTGTTCTGTGACTGTAGTTCATATTTACATTCATTACAGGCAAAAAATGCGTATGTGCAAACACCCAACAGTACCGAATAACTTTTCTGTAGGCTCAGCAGATAGTAGAACTATTTTATTTGCACTTGCGTTACATTTAAGGGAAGGAAATGAGTTGTGTGTACTATGGTCTGTTGGTGAGTAAATAATTTTCCTTGTTAACTAAGGACTGATAGAGTCATGGTCTTTTTTATGACTCTAGACAAAAAATGTATGTCTGCTTTAAGTAGCAAATAACTAGCGTGTCAATGGCCTTTCAGTGTGTTCTCTGATCTGCACTGGAATTAAGCTGAATGTTTGAGTCTAATTTATGCTTGAATTTCTTAAACCAAGTTGATGCTGCTTAGGTGTTTATTTTGTTGTTCTTGTTTTTTCTTAGACCTCTTGTTACTACTCCACAATTCATGACATCTTTTCCGTGAAGCATATATAGAAGTCTTTGTTTCATAGAATCATTAAGTTGGACCTTCAAGATCATCTGGTCCAACTATCACCCTTCTACCAATGTCACCCACTAAACCATGTCCCTAAGAGCCAGGTCCAACCTTTCCTTGAACACCCCCAGGAATGGTGACGCCACCACCAAATTAGATTAGTTTAGACACAGCTAAAGTCTGAAGAAGTCTACACTTAAGAAGCTAAATCTTTCAATTTTGTTAGAGGCTTTATGGTTTGCTGTAATTTCACTAGTTGCTCACATATAAGTGCGTTCTAAATGAGTAATTAAATACAGAAATCTTTATATAGGGGCAAGCCAGATATAAGAACATCACCTTACAAAATGTGAGGTTCTGGGTCCAAATCATCCTGAGAGTTCCAAAGTAATTTCTTGGAGGTATCACACTATGAGCTCATCAAGTAAAAGTTTTAAATCATCCCCTAAAAGTAAAATCCTTCATTCTAGAATTTATGTTTATTTTGCTTTTCTCATGTTACTGTGTTGCTTTCCATATGAAGAGTGTATGTGTAATTGCGAGAAAATAGGGTTTCCTGATGTGAGCAAGGAAATGCTGCGTTCCAGAGTAGTAGATAAAACATTTTGTACTATCTGATGTTTTAGTGTTTTGTTTTATATTTTAAATGTGTGCCATGTACTATAGGATAAGAGAATTTTCAGATATTTTAGTTGGTATTTCTCTTTTTGGATGCTTAACTTAGCCTTTTCACTTTTGAAATCAGCTGCTTCACTTATTCAGCAAGTCCAAAAGTACACAGTAGAAACAAGCTTCTAAAAAATCTTTGACCACAGAATCACAGCTTTAAATTCTGTTGTCTCTTAGACAGTATTTTCCCTTCCCTGCTTCCCACACCAAATGGCCAAAACTTAGCGGCTCTATAGCTAGAGAAGCTGTTACTGGTGTAGAAAAGTCCTACAGGTTTTTTAGAGGTTTTGGTTTTTTGAAGTGGCCGAAGTGGTAGTTATGAGGTAGGAAAACTTCTGTATTCTGGGAGAAGCTGAGGAGGATGGAATATTTTCATGGGCACATGGATTAGGTGAAGGGTGAAGATAAGAGAATAGTGGAGCTTTTACCACCTTCCAGAAGCCATAGGGGACTTTGTATTTCTTTGGTTGTCTTGTGTTGTGATGTTACCCTCCTCACTAAAGAGAAGGGCCCATTTGCTCAGATTTGTATGTGGATTACCCCATCTCATTCCTGTACCCTTCTTGTCAACCACCTGAGATATTCAGGCTTTTTTTTTTTTTTTTTTTTTTAATAATTTGTTTTAATATGTTAAGGATGACCTGCATGAGGAGGATCAAACTCCTCCTTTAATCTGCAGTCCATAAGGGAAAACAGTACTAAATTTCAGTGTTCTAATTAAAAAAGGCCAGTTGAGTAACAAAATCCCATAATGAGGACCTTCTGGTGACCCTCAGCTGAAGGGTCAAATTTGGGATTTCCCTTGTGCACACAGTTTGGGGAACACAGTGGATGTGTGTTACATCAGATTCTGGTTCTGTCGAAAGACTGAAACTAATTGCTGCTCTGTTAAACATCTGTATTTTGTTTGAGAAGCTGAGAGTTTAAAAACTCAGCAAGAGCATTTGCTGTACATGCTTGTATCCTTGATCTGAACTGTGGGAGGTGTGACATGATGTGTGTGTAGATTTTGAATCTGAGCTTTCTAGCAGTTATGGATGTGTTGGGAGTTTCTGGTGCTGGCTGAACTGCACAGTCTCTTCCAGAAAAAGGTGCTGCCTTACTTGCCCTCACAGTCACCAGTGAGTAGCTTTGAATATCATTTGCTCCAAAAGCTCCATTCCCATCCTCTTTACCCAATGAGTGGTTACATTTGTGTGCATCTGTAGCCTTAGAGGATTAACCCTGTTGTTGCAGAGAATTTTTTTTTTTTGGTGTGTTACTCCAGTTTGGGTCCCACTCCTATGTAGGTGGATTTGCATAGCCTTATACAAAATTCTGTTGTTTGTGTGGGAGGTAGTTCCCAAGCTGTTGACACGTGGCCAGGTATTTCATAAAATTTGTTAAGTGAATGTTGTCCTGTTTCTACAGAAGAGCGGGTCGTCCCCATTGAAGTCTGCCGTTCCAAACTGTCAAAGTACTTGCAGGGAGTTGTTTTCCGCTGTGATAAGTGTACCTTTACCTGCTCCAGTGATGAGAGCTTGCAGCAGCACATAGAGAAGCACAATGAACTGAAACCTTACAAATGCCAACTCTGCTACTATGAGACCAAACACACAGAAGAGCTGGATGCTCACCTTCGAGATGAGCACAAGGTAATTACAAAATAGTTTTAATTTGTAACAGTCTACTCTTGAAAAGGAAGCATTTAGTTTACTTGCATGTTAACTCTGATTAAGCCAACCTGCCTTCTCTTCCTCCCACCCCATGAAAATCTGGAAACTAACCCCATATTGTATTTCACTTGTTGTTGTTGTTGTTTTTTCTTTAGAAAGTCAGAACTGAGAGTTTCTAAAACTGTTAGATTGATTCCAAAAAATGTTAGATAGAGATTCCAAACATAAGATTGGTCTGGCAACTTCAGCAGCATGAAGTGCCATGCATATTTTAATAACAAAGTGGGCAATACCTTCCGTTTACATTTAACACAGGAAAGATAAACAGCAACTGTAATTAGGTCCTAGTTTAAAACTGCTTTGGAGTTTTTGTGGAGTCAATGAGTACAGACCTAATCCAGTCTTTAAGAAGCTGTTACAAGACTTCCCACAAACTCCTGTTAACTTTGAATTTCTGTAGCTGTGAACTGTGTATCTGGGAGACACTGAAGTTCTAGGATTTAGTTGTATTTTGGAGTATTTATCAAAGTATTTTCTTGTTACATTTCCAGGGGAGGCAGCTATTTGCTTCCGTCTATTGGAGCTGAGCTGCCCAAGTCCTCATTAAAACTCACTCTCACTTCATTAACTGAACAACACTTCCCTTACCTCTAAACATGTTTATGTTGACAGTATTAGCAGATCAGAAGTCCCAGCAAAACTTTGCACAAAAAAAACAAAAAACAACAAACAACAACAACAACAAAAAAACACAAAGGCAAACACATAAACGTTTGGCTGTCTTGTAAAAACAAACTCTGTAAACCTAATGTTGGCCTGATGTGCTTATTTTTGTTTGTCTTCTTCTTTATAACTCCACCAGAGTCTTCTGCAATTCATATGGTACATGAGATGCTCCTCCTTTTCCAATCACCACAGCAAAAGCTCTGGCATATCCAGGAGACATTAATCCTCATTCATTTCACAGTGGATCAGAATGGGAATATTATTCCTCACCTTTTTTCTTCCAGTTTGGACCTGCAATAATGATCCCAATAGTTTACAGTATCTTTTCTATGTCTCTCTTCACTCATTCATATCTTACTAATTTGTGTCCAAGTTCTGGGCTCAGTTACCCAAATGATATGTTGCACCTTAAAGAGTTCCTGTGCGTGAACTGGGTTGAATTAAATGCCTTGCACATCGTCTTGTCTGTTTAAGTCTCAGTGGGTAACATGTCAAGTCAGAGAACCTCATCCCAGGTGTCTGTAGGTAGTAGTTCTAGGGACCTGATTACTTGTACACCACTGCGTTTAGGATAGATTGCTATTTGGACATATACTAGAGTCTAATTCATATGACCCTTAGGTTCATTCAGATTCCCTTTTCTGCAGAGGCATAAAAGATAGTGGGGGTTGGTATTTCATTCAGCGTCTTGCAGGAGGTGTTTTACTGCACTCATTCCTGTCTCCATCCTCTCTGCCTCTGTAGCTCAGTGCCTGTGCTGCTGGAGGGCTATCTTTTTGTGTGAAAGATGAATCCAAAATCCTTACCAGCAGTGATCAATGAGCTCAGAGGGCTCTCGTCATCAAACAAGTATTAGCCATAGTTTCCTGGTCATGCTTCCACTGTCTGCCTCTACTGTAGATCTGGACTGTTCCTCTGCTGTTTCTAGTGAATGTGGTAGAGTTCCTGACTTCTGTGCCCTAAGCTGCTGCTTACATATTGCTGCCTTGAGCTATTAAGTGCTGGTGCATTTTACCCTAGGGTTTGCTGAGTTTAACTGCTGGGTGAAGTGTTCACATTATAGTCTATATATCAGTTTGCAAAGCACTTTGAAGCTGTTCGTGAGAATTAATCTGTTATTAATGAGTGAAAGTGTACATGGTGTGCAGCAGCCACGTGCTTAGTAAAGGACTCATCCTTTCATGTGTGAGGCTGAATGAACCAGCCACAAACAATTTTCCTTCAATATAATTGTGCAATGGCAATGTTTGATCATCATAGTTGAATGATCCTGTAAAAGTAGGATACAACTTAGTGCTTTACAGTTCTTGGACTTCTTTTGTTTTAATGCCTCAAAAACAGGAAGAAATTAGGATAATTTATTGAATGGCATTACTTTTTGAAAACCACAAAATGAGAAACACAGATGAAACAGTGAAAAATGAATTGTTGTTGGTGAAAATAAATGTGTTAATTTGACTAGATCTGTATGTCACCTGTGGCTGAGTAGGCTTTGGGGTGTACTGGATTTCATTTTGCATATGTGGTGTTTTTTCTGAGTAGCTGATGGTTGTGCTGATTGCTGACAAAAGTGTTTTTGTCAAAGGTGAGTCGTAACTTTGAGCTGGTTGGACGGGTTAACTTGGACCAGTTGGAACAAATGAAGGGAAAAACAGAGAGCTCCAGCAGTGATGAGGAAGAAAAGGAAGAAGAGTTAAGCCCCAAGACTGAAGAGAGAGGTCAGTACAGTGCTTTTTTTTCTTTTTCTTTTAAGACACAGCAATGTGCCCTACCAGTCCCAACAAGGAAGGTCAGCTGTTGACTCTACAGCACATTCCAGTAAAGTCATGTAGGCATGCCAGGAGGAACAGAATGGAGCTTTTGTGAAGACACCATTCCTGGGGGAATCTCATGTTTCTAATCCTTATTGCAAGTTTTCAGTCTGTTAAGAAAATACGTACTATGAGAAAATGCAGATAGGATCTTTGACTTTATCTGCCCATGCAGATAACATCTATAAGGTCTTGGAAAACTATGCAAGCGGGGAGTACTTTAGTGGTCTGACAGATTTTCTGTGTTGGTAATCAGTTTTTAGCTTCTCAGTTGGCAGTGATCAAGCAAGGGACGAAGGAGTCATGGCCAAACTTTTTTTTTATGGGCTGTTCCTAACTCTGTGCCCAGCATTCCTTCCTTGTTAGAGAGCTAGTCCTGTTGTAGTTGTTGCGGTTGGCAACTCTAGAGCTAGGGTAGGTCCATGTCCAATATATACCATTGTGTATTTATGTGCATAAGTGCATTTCTATGAATAATCCCACTTATTTCAGCAAGGGTAGGGCATGTACTCTCTAATGCATTTGTTTTGGTCAAAGTTATGTCAATAGGGAAAAAGTAATACCCTTATAAATCAAACTGTATGTTGTTCTTGCCCTTTCCCAGTCTGAAAACCAACCTATTGCAAGTATCTGGTCTAAATTGTGTGTTGTTTAGTTTGCTCTGGTGTTTGGTTCATTGGTCAAATACAGTATGTTCATGACTCTTTAATAAGCCCTGTGATGCCTCAATGTTGGGATCTTGGGGGTCATTCACCCTCCAGGTGCCAATGACTGCAGTTAGCTAAGTTTGTAGGTACTTAAGTAAAGATATGCCATGATGTTTATCTTTTTCCTCCTGAATTTTCAACTTTCAGTGGAAGACTGATTTCCAACTCATACAGGAGTTGTTCACAAAAGAAAAAGTGTCTCCCCGAATCATTATAGACCTTGAAAAATTAAGGTTTCTGGATTCACAAATTGTTTTCAGAACAAGAGAGGTGTAGCTCATTTCTCTCACGTCTTAATAGCCAGGCCTCAGTGTCTTGGCTTTTGTTTAGTGTTCCTGCAGCATAAATTCAGTCTGTGCTTATCAGTAGCACTTCACTTCAAGTGTAGTTAATGATAGTTTTTATTTAAATGAGAAAGGAAGCTAGTTGGATAGGAAGCCATTTACATTTTAATGAAAAGTATCCTTCACAAGATCTTAGGTAGTAGCAGTAGAAAAATCAGAGGACCCGCTAAAGGGATATTAGCTCCATATGCATTTCAAAGTTCAGGGTTATTAAGTTGTGTTGAAAGCCTGCTCAGGTGTCAGTTCAGGCAGAGCTTCAACCCTCAGAGGCTCGTGGCTGGAACATTTTGCCTACAGGACCACCCCTCCCCCCCAGTTGCAGATACAGCATAGTGATTAATGTTTTGTATAGACCCACAGCTAGTAAAGTCATGCTGACCTTGTGAGGATTACCTTAGCATTACATAGAAGCAGTGGTACTGAAGTGACCATGGAAACTGTGATATCCAGTCGAAGAGGAAGAAGATGCAGTCTGCCAGGCCTTACAAATCCCTGTAAATGTGCTGTAGGGAGGGGGACAGCCCAAGGTGAAGTTCATTGGTTAAATTAGCTTTAGGATACTTAATTTTGTTACATTCATTGTGCAAATGTAAAAATGTCGCCTTCTATGCTGGAGATTTAAACTTACAGGGAAAATAGATAAGTGTTATCTCTGTGCTTTATGTGATCTATAGTTAAGCAAGGGATAGTGTATGAACACTTCTAAGTTTTATTCTGTACTTTTGCCACCTGTGTATTTCTCATCAGCAGCTGGCTAAAAAGGGACTTGTGCATGATTGTTTAGATGACCAATTTTAAAAAAGCACGCGTATTTTCTGACTTGTTTTGCAGGCATTCTTTCCTGACTGGACCATACGGGTGATTTTTCGCCATTATTAATTTTTCTCCTTTTAATCTATTACAACTTGTAATATTTTATACTATGATAGGTTGAACAGGGTTGAATAGGAAAACATTTATGCCTACTGCAGAAGTCATATTTACTGTATTTTTCTTGCCAAGTTAAAGTAGTTTACTACTTTAAGGTGCAAGATCCAAAGTACACTTTAGAAAAATGTCCCAGTGAGACAGGAGCTAAAAGTGTGATTGGATGCAGAGTTGCATGTTGACATCGTCTCCCAATGGATTTTTAGAAGATACTTCTAACGTAGAAATGGTTTGCTGTGTTAGCAGAGGACCAGACCCATGCTTTTAAATATTGACTGTCACAGTGGCTAATGGTGTCACAGCTTTCAAACCACATCAAACTATGTAGTCTCATATTCCTCTTGGGGGGTGCTTTTGATGATTCTAGCCTTTGTGGTGTTAGCAGGAAGTGGGATTTGCTGAGAGTGTCTCTGTGCTCTGAGTATCTGGAAGCAAATGCTGCCTGAATCCTCTGAAGTCTGTGACTTTGGCAGAACCAAGGTTTCTTTCTGTGAGTCAAACAATAAGCCTAGATTCACTGCTTTGACTTGAGACTGGAATGCACAGTACTGAAGGTGCAGAGAGGAGCATGTTGCTTCTCCAGATGGACAACTGGGGCAGTGTACCAAAGAAGAACTAGTGCCCATGCGAGCAAACAGAGATAGGTATGTCCCCTCAGCAGAGCTGAACAGCTGTCTTTGATGGGAAAGGAAAACAATGTTTTGCTTCTGGTGAAGGACAGCAGAAAACATAATGACCTGGGATGAAGAAGATGGCAGGGGCTGGAGAGGAAAAAGAGGGTGTTTGTCATACACCACAAAAGGAAACACTGCCCCTGCTAGAGACTGCATCCCAGATGACCTCTGTCTCACCAGAATCTACTTCCATGGTAGAAGGGTGGGGGGGGGGGGGGGGGGGGGGGGCAGGGAAGGATCCAGAAGTTCTTGTACATAATATTATGCAAAAACAAAAACAAACAAACAACACAAACAAGCAAACTAAACCAAACCAATCAACCAAAAACAACAACAACAACAAAACAAAAACCAACCAACCAACCAAACAAACAAACAAAACACCACCAAAAATGAAAACGTGTCAGGTGTCTGTGCGGTTTGTTACCTCTCATCCCTCTCATTCTCAGGCGCCAGAGAAGAGCAGCTTCTGATACTCCTCCAGGGAAGCAGTCCAAATTCACAGCCCTAGAAATGAAAATGATCAGGAAGTAGGGTGAACAATAGAGTGTATTCTGAAGGTGGATTTACTAGAGTAGCACTTGCAAATCTTAATGGGAATTGCCAATATAAATCCTCCCTATTTGTTTCAGCAAAATATCCTCTGTAGTACATATCTCTTATTTGTAGAGGCCCAGAATGAAGTTCCTATTGTGTACTATATGGCAGGCATATTTCTTGTACAGTAGAGCAACTTCTGCTTCCAGAACATCTGCCCTCTACAAATATTTGTCCCTGTACCATGTCTGTGTGTTGCAGTGTACTTACAAATTTGTACCACACACATGGTATTAAGATCCAGATGGATTTCCCCATCCCTGGAAGAGCTCAGAGACAAATTGGATAGGGTTTTAGGCAACCTGGTCTGGTGGGAGGTGTCCCAGCCCATGGCAGGGGGGTTGGAACCATTCTGTGATTCTGTGTAAACTGAATTAATGGTATTGATTTAATTTCTGGTGTTCCTATTGACACAGCACCTTGCTTTGTGATGTTTATCTGCAAAATAAATCACCAACAGTAAAAAATAGGAAGGGAGGATGTTTCTTTGAGGGGGAAGAAGCAACAAATGGTGTTAAGAATAATTTCATATAGAACTTTAGTAAAGTGGGATATGTGTCACAAAAATACCTTTACTGAACTTTACATATGGATAGTAGTGCTTGCATGGACAGTTTTAGGATCATAGGCTGATCTTGAACAGAGTAAATCTGTGAGTGAAGAAATCAAGTGAGCAGAGATCAGAACTAGAAAGAAGCAAAATCCCTTTTATTATGTAGTTTGGGAGGAGTCAGAAAGACATTCTGTTGATTCCTTGCTTAAGATAATCCCTGCTAAGGAATTAATGCTCTGAGCAGATGGTGCTGTCTCATATCCAGCAAAAGAATCAAGTGAGATAGTCCATGCAATTATTTTTAATGGCTTGTGTGGTGATCTTCTTAATTTGTGAGAAAATGTTTCATCTTTTGTTAAAGCCGGCTGTGTTCACGTGGGTTTTTGCTTTCAGAAATACTGCTCCCTCAGCTGCCACTGAGTTAACTTGTATTACAAGGTGCTAGACACTTCTGCAAATGAGGCCCCAAGGCCTTCATATAAAAAGGCTAGGATGGGATGAAACACCTATGCAGTTATGATGCAAGACTTTTAGAGATACTCTAGCTTGTAAGACTTCATAATGAACAGTCTATTTCTTCTGAGGATCACGTTAGCCACAGAATCATAGAATGGTTTGGGTTGGTGCTCCAGACCCTTCATCACCTCTGTGGCCTCCTCTTGGCTCACCCTTAACAGGTCCATGTTAAGAGGTCCTGTGAAGGGTGCCCCAGAGCAGAACACAGCGCTCCAGGTGGGGTCTCACGAGAGCAGAGCAGAGGGGGACAATCAGCTCCCCAGCCCTGCTGGCCATGCTGCTTTTTGGTGCAGCCAAGATACAGCTGGCTTTTCTCAGCTGTAAGTGCACAGTGCTGGCTTGTGTTGAGCTTCTCATCAGCCAACACCCCCAAGTCCTCCTCAGGGCTGCTCTCAGAGTTTGTGTACAACCAATTCAAAAAATTCAAATGTAGATGGCCTTTTTTTCATTTTTCTTTCAAGCCATTTTAACCATAAGCTCATCTCAGTGTTAGTTTTGAATTAAAACTCCACAGTCCCTTCATTTATTGAAATACAAGGACAGGGTGTAATAAGTAACTCTGTTACGTTTCTTTGCAGGGATGTTCTAAGATTTAGGATGGAATATGTTACTTGGCAGTGTCATTTTGCTTTGGGGGAATTGCATTTTCACAAACACAATAGTTGATGGGTATGTCCTTTTGCTTCTTAGAGATACTTTTTCTCTCTTGGAGCAGCAGAAGGGATCAGAGTAGGATCGCAGTGGTCCCTTTTTGCCCTGGGACATAAAAATTCACAGGCTGTGCTGACCTTTTCCAGATCCCATGATGTTTTCTGACACTGGTCCTCCGGAGAAACGCTTCCCTTGTGAGTTCTGTGGCCGATCGTTTACAGAAGGCTCTGAGTGGGAGCGACATGTGCTGAGACATGGCATGTAAGTTGGTTTACACTCCTTCACCAAAGAGCCAGAGGTAACAGTAGTAGTGTATTCCCCCACTGTATTCTCACCTGCCAGCAAGTCCCATGAGGAAGGCAAACATGTTTACATGAAGGAAGAATTCTATCTTAAGTGTTGCTGCAATTATTGGATGTCTCTGTATGAGAATTTCCAGTTCAGCCTTTTTTAACTGCACAGCCTGGAGTGGCTGTAGACTATAGGGCTGTCCCTAAGTGAATACCACATAGTTGCCCCAGGATTAACTTCATCAGAGTGTGCTGTTGACTTCAACTGCCAGTAGAGCAACTTAAAAATGGCAAAAAAATTACGAGGAATGTTCTAGGAAGCACCATTTATTTTTTTTCTCCTTTCTTTCTTACTATGTTTCTTTTGCATGCTTGCAGTTAAACATGTAGAACAATGCGAAGGATTATGTGCAGAGAAATTATGGTAAGACCTTAAAGGGAGGTTAAAATTGTAATGAACTCCTCTTAAAATGAGCATAGTGAAGTTCATAGCAAAGATCTTTGTCTTTCTACTGCAGTTTGCACACCGTGGGATGATACGCATCACAGATAAGATAGCTGTCTCTGGAACGCTTAATTTTCCTTCTCTTGATGAAGATCAGTTCTGTAGTAGAGATGTCTTTGCTGACAAGAGTTTCTTCAAAGAACAGATCTTGTTCAAGGTTGCTGTCCTGCAGAAGACATTTAAATACAGTATTGTAACTTAAATGTGGCAGGATGAAAAATACTTTAATCTTAATACCTTTAATCTTGTCCACCTAGATAAGAGTATTTGAAATGTTGAAAGCTAGAAGAAGTTTTATCAGATCTTTAACTCTTTGGGAAAAATACTCTTTTCCCGTGCCTTTTTTTGAGCTGTAATGTCATGGGTCCCACTGGCAGCTTCATTCCACCACCTCTCTTCTTAAGCATGAGGTAGCAAAGGTGTGGCTGCTTGTGTCAACTTTTTTAGGAAGAGGTCTGTTTTTCCCCCTTCTGTGATACGCATGGATTGGCTTTGCTGTTCTCTGTATTGACTGCAAGTGTTTCTGTATTCTGCTGCTTGGCTTTCAGGGCACTGAATGAAAGTAAGCATGGGACCAGCGAGGACAGCCAGACGAAGGAGGACGTGGAGGAGACTGTTAGCACACTGCCAGAAGAAAAAGAAAGCATTGAAAAAATGGTGCTGGACTATTCCCACAACAGTGAAACAGTAGTCAGTGTGGTAGCTGCTGACAAACCTCTCCAAGAAAACCCGGAGGCCAAAAACGAATAAGCATTTGGTGTGATTTTAACCAACGTACTTGAACAGTGATGAGTGGCATGGGGAGGGCGGGTGGGGCGGGCAGACGGAAGAAATAAAGCTGCTTTTAGGACTGAATGATCTATTTTCAAAGCACTGGTACCTGTGTGAGTGTGTGTGTATTAAAGTTATTTAAGTGGTGGAATAAGTGGCTCCATTACATCACTGCATCTTTTCTTCTGGATCTTGACAATGGGAAGTTACATTCATCTTGGACTAATGAAGAAACTCCCCATATTCCTACATTACACAACGTGCTTTGCAGTGGAGACTTGGATTGTTTGTGAATGGAAGCATCGTGAGCGTGGAAGAAGTAAGGGGGATAACTTTTCAACGCACAAATTTTGGTGCGTTTTTCTAGTTTTAATACATAATGCTTTTCCAGACTGAATGCAACTGCTTTAGAAATGAAAAGAAAAAAAAAAAAAAAAAAAGAAAACAAAAACAAAACAGAAACTGCTTTGCTTAAAACAGTCACCTGTTTCCTAGTACCTCAAAATTAACCAAGGGAGATCTCTGCATTTGTCAGTACTACCTGTTGTCATTGTGGTTAAATGTAGAGAGACTGCTGGGCAAGGTGGTGAATGGAAGAAGAAAAAAGTTTTAAAGAAAGAAACAAATTGTGCTTAAAATCCCAGTGTGGGTTTTATTTCTTAAAATACTGTGATTTTTTTAATTATTTTAGTAAAAAAAAACAAAAAAAAAGAGAGAGACTTTAATTCCTAGATAACTGTTTGTGAATTGTCATCCTTTATTCCAGGTAAGCTGTTTGTTAGTATTCAGTTATAATTTTAGGATTTGATAGATTTCATGTGACTGATTGTGCGGTTTTGTTTGCCACATTTATTTTCTATCAGCCTGAGGTGTTACAAATACAGCACAATTAAGTTTGTCATGTAAAATGAATTATTTCTTTTCAAGGGGGGACAGGGAAAGGAGACTAGATCTTGTGAATAGAACTTTTTGTTGCTGTTGTCGTTGTTGCTGTTAATTTTAAACATACGTAAATAACAAAGATGTTTTAACTTTTTTTTTTTAAGACTAAAGAACCAAACTTACAGCACAGCTATGCAGCTTGCGGGCCAAACACATAGGTCCTCATAACCGTTCTGTTGCTTGTCATATTAACATCTATCAGTCTCACACCAGTAACTTTTTGTTAAGACTGGCTGCCTTGTTTTCTTCTGTCCGTGGTGTGCGTGCTTTCTTTTTTGTTTTGGTGTGGTGGGAGGGGAGGGGTGTTTGTTAACACATCTTTTTGCAAGTGGAGATGTAATAGTTACATATGACATTGAGCCTGGAGAACTACTTTACTCGATTCAAGGTGGAGTTGCTGAGTTTTTCCCCTCCTCCTTAGCTTTTAGCATGAGGGGAGCAGCGTAGAATGAATAGGAACCTGCATACCTAAGTGGCTGATCCTGCACTTTTCCTGGAATGGAAAGCCTACCAAACTTAAGGGGATTTTGAACAGGGAATACAGGATCTGGTGCCCATGGTATGTTCTGATTGTGAACAAAAAAGAGTTTCTTTCCAAAAAGTAGAAAGTACTTGACTGAAACCTAGTTTTAGAAATGCATGTGTCTTTGTTTTTTTTTTTTTTTTTCTTTTCATTTGTTTTGGGGGGGATCTATGGGAGGGGGAGGGGGGAAAAGAGGAAGCTGCTGGGAAAGTGGTGTCCCAGAGAGCTTCACATAAAATTGATGGCAAAAATGTTGCATTTGTAGAATAAGTGCTACTTGAGAAGCATGGTGTTTTGCGTTTGAGGATTCATCAGTTGTGGGGTAGGGGGATTCCTTTGATTTTTTTTTTCCAACTTTTTTGCCTTTTTTTGAAGTAGGGAGGGAACGTCATGTGAAAAACACATTGGAGGGACAAATATAAATACACATTTTGTGTCTGTATTTGTTTTTAATTGGCCTCATTTCAAATGTATTTCAACAGTTCCATACCTGGATTGGGTGTTTGTAATGGTTACCAAAAAAGAAAAAAAAAAAAAAAAAAAAAGAAATAAATGATTGTGACATGCTTTTATCACTACTTTATTTTTCAAATAACATGTAAATATTGTAATCCATTGGATTTTGTTTTGCTAACCTGTTAATAAAACATACGGGACCATTATCCTTTTAACAAGCTTAGAATGTCATATTGTTTTCCTTTTCTTTCTTTTCCCAAAAATGTATACCTGATATATTGTGGACACACATTTTAGATGCATTATTATGATTCTGTTGACTGTAATGACATAGAATTGAAAATAACATTTTTTTCATTGTTTAATTTATACAGAGGACTTTTTCAGAGTTTGACAGAAGGAATTAAATAGCAAAATGCTAACCCATTGGCTTCAGCACTCGGTATTTCCTGATTTTAAAATTACTGCTTACTGATGGGGGATAGGAAGGGGATACTGAACTGTTGCACTGACGGGTTTGTTTTTTTTTAAAAAAAACAAAACAATGAAAATTAATAAAAACTTTTTAAGAGTGTTTGCCTGTCTGTGTGTTGTTCTGTATTGGCTTCTCTCGTGGTGGGACTATGGAAATATCTATGTGACTGGTTCTGCATTTAATATCTCTGGGAGGGATCAGAGCATCTCTTTCCTCTCTTCATTCTTTCTCCCCCTATTTCACGGATGCAGAACTTTGGATTTACAGGTGGGGTGGGGTGGCTCTTACCTAGTTCACACAGGATGAGGGGTCTGCCACATCCCCGAGGAATGCCTTGGATATCCACCAGCCAGAGATCCATTAGAGGACAAGGGCATATTGCCAAAGTCTGGTGACTCTGCCTGAACCCAAACATAGAAATGAAGAAATTTTGCAGTCTGTCTTGAAGGATCAAAATAGATAGAGACAGGCCACTATTTGGATTATCAACTCAGTCTCTTCATGATTTGAGATACTGTTTGCTCCAGTATCTGATGACCTGAGACTGTGCTTAATCAGACTTGAATATACGTCCAGTTGGCTGGAGCAAGGGGGGTTACTTTTTTGCCCTTTCCTCTGTTGAAAACTTTAAATGATGCTTGTGGTGTTGTCTTGGAATCTTTCTTTCCAAAGTATAGGTTTTTAAAAGCACATTGAAAAGATGTCAGAAGTGTCCTCCTCCCCCACTCAATCACCTCCTTATTTTCCATGTGTCTTAAAATAACTAATTCTTTAGCCTATCTATACCAAAAAAAAAAAAAAAAAAAAAAAAAAAAAAGCATTTTAGGCTTTTAGACATTGTCTTTTTTTCAGTGATTTCTGGAAACCTTTGTCCATGAGGGAGGCCTACAAATAATTTGCACACTATGTTCTACCCCAGAACTAACTTGCACTTTGAAAAGAGAAAGGGTTGCTCAGTGATCAGCCACTAACAAGAATTACATCACTGACATAATGAAAGACCTTGCAATGACTTCTAGAGTATTACAGTTCTGTTATCCCATTCACCTCAGGGACAGGTGTAAGTGAAATTGAAATAAAGCGCTGTCTTCCCAGTTACAGGTTTCTGGCTTTACAGGACTGGCTCACCTGTCTTGAAATTCCTGTTCTGAATTAAAATACAACTTAAGGTTTTGGGGGAAGAAGAGGCAAAGGAAGTAGTTGCTATCATGAGTCTTTAGTTGAAATTCCCCAATTCCTTTTTTTTTTTTCTTTCTTTTTTTTTTTTTTTTTCGTAACTGGGAGCCATGGGCTTCACAACAAGCATTCATGCTGTTGGACAACTGGTGCTCTGCACACAGTGTTCCCAGGCTCATTGTCCTTCCTTTTCTTAAGAAGTCTGGGTAAATGTTTACTACCTTATTGCTAGCTGACTCCTGGCATTTTCTTTTGGCCTTGAGGTGCTCACACTGGTGCAAAGGCTTTGCTGGAGTTGCTATGGGAAGGATGGTCTCCCTCTCTTGCAAACACACAGCCTCCCTAGAGTTGGGTTGAGCAGCGTAGGCCACAGGTTACCCAGTGACTTAGGGACCAAAACTGAGAATTGTCAATGTCACAGTAAAGATTATAAGTCCAGTACTGCAGGGCTTTCAGTGGAAAGTCTACCGTTTGCAAAATGAGTGGGACCTATGTGATACTTAGGATCATAGAATATCCCGAGTTGGAAGGGACCTATAAGGATCATCCCGTCAAACTCCTGGCACCACCCAGGTCTACCCAAAAGTTTAGACCACATGACTAAGTGCACAGTCCAAATGCTTTTTAAATTCAGACAGGCTCGGTGCAGTGACTACTTCCCTGGGGAGCCTGTTCCAGTGTGCAACCACCCTCTCAGTGAAGAACCTCTTCCTGGTGTCCAGCCTAAACTTCCCCTGCCTCAGCTTAAACACCATTCCCATGGGTCCTATCACCGGTGTTTACAGAGATTAGGTCACCTGCATCTCCACTCCCTCTCATAAGGAAGTTGTAGACCGTGATGAGGTCACCCCTCAGCCTCCTCCAGGCAGAAAAGGGCCAGTGACCTACCTGTACTTGTACCTACGTTATCTTGGAAACTGGTGCCTTATGGAAGACTTCATGTGAACTTAAACAGTGAAAGTCAGTCTCCTGGCTTCAAGAAAATATCTCAATTACAGATGTTTGGTACATTTCAATGAAAACTGCCCCAAGCTTCTCCTCTCCTCCCTACCCTCAAGTGTGTTTTGTTCAATACTTCTTCTGATAACACAGCACTTTTCCACCATGTGAGCCAACAGTCCGGCTCCAAAGCAACCAGATTACTGAATAGGAAATGATTCTGGGTAAGAAGATTTTGGAAAAAGGGAATGTGTAATCCAAGATAGGCTTAAGATGTTACAGAAAACTCTCTTTGTTTTCAGAGTGGTTAATTGCACTGCCCCCACACCAACTGCCACTGGAAAAAAGGATTTCAGTTTGAGCAGTCTAGAGTGCAACCTTCAGCATGAACGCTACAGTCCTCCCAGGACACAACAAACAGACCTTTTGATGTTGTCTTGTCTGTCACTTATCAGACTGCCCTCAGATAAACGGGTGGTGTCAAACAACCCTATGAGTCAAAGGTAGGGCTGGGGAGCATAAGTAAAAGAGCAAGCATCCTGGTTAAATTTTTGGTAAAGAAGGATGATGCCTGTTTTGATCAACAGAGGTTTGGAGAACCTAGCTGAAGGCATCATTCCTCTTGCTCTGTCTGCAGTTACTTACCTGTATGTGAAAATGCAGTACACCTTTTGCAAGGGTGCAGGAAGAGAAGGAAGTCTGATTCATCAGTCATGCAGGTTGTGTGAGTGTGGATAGAAAGGGAGAAGGAATTTGGATAGAGTAACAGAACAACTTCCTGAACAACCGAGTGGGACAGCAATGGAGCAGGTCATCCAGGGAGGATATGGAATCTTCACCTTTGTTTTATCAAACGCATAAAAGCCATGACTGATCTAGTCTAGCGTTGTCAATAATTCTGCTCTTAGCAAGAGGTTAGACCAGAGACCTCCAAAAATCCCTCACAGACCCATTTCCTATTTGAAGATAAATTTCCCCTGACTTTTTGCAAGTCCATGTTTTTGGTATGAAATACTTTAAGGATGTGCTCATTGACTCATGAGTTCTTCTCTGAACTCAGCATTTCTGTCTATCCTATGTCGACTCATTCTTAACCAATACAAATATATGCTCAGTGATGTAATGCTCCTACGGTAAAGATCTCATGGCAGGATCAAAGAAAATTTTTAGCAGACTTTCTGTGTGGGTTTATTTTCATCATTAGCTAAGGACGGCACTGAACAGTGCTTAGATATAGAAAACAGCTATCAAATAGTAGAAGATATCTCTCTGTGCTTCTGGGTTTCTTCTTGGCCCAAACTGTTTAATTAGTTCAGCCTTGAATCTCACAATTCCTTTTCTCCAGCACTCCTGCAATATGCTACAAATCAAGTGAAATAAAATAATAATTAAAAAAAAAAAAAAAAAAAAAAAAAAAACTAGTGTCAGTGTGGTGGGGTTTTGTTTTTGCTTTGCTTTTGTGATTGAGCCAGCATTCTCACTTGTTACAACTGGAAGAATCCCATCCAAAGTTCTGTCAACTTAAAAAAAAAAAAAAAAATCAAGAATGATGTTTTAGAATAGAATGAATGAAAACATCAAGAAAAAAAAAAAAGCATAAACAAATAACTTCTCATGCAACGTACTCCATTGTGTACCAACAGATAGACTGCACAGCTAAGAGTCAGGTAGCATTATTGGCTATTCTTCTACATTTGAGAACTATTTTCTGCTAGCAGAATCATAGAATCACAGAATGGTTTGGGTTGGAAGGGACCTTCAAGATCACCCAGTTCCAACACTCTGCCATGGGCAGGAACACGTCTCACCACACCAGGTTGTTCAAACCCCATCCATCCTGGCCTTGAACACTTCCAGGGACAAGTCATCCACAGCTTCTCTGGGCAACCTGTGCCAGTGTCTCACCACCCCCAGAGTGAAGAATTTCTTCCTTATATCTAAATCTACTCTCTTTTAATTTAAAGTCATTGCTCCTTGTCCTATCTCTACACCTCCTGACAAAATGTTCCTCCTCAGCTTTCCCGTATGCCCCCTTTAGGCACTGGAAGGCTGCATGAAGCCTTCTCTTCTCCAGCTGAACAACCCCAACTCCCTCAGCCTGTCTTCACAGGAGAGCTGCTGCAGCACTTTGATTATCCTCATGACCCAACTCTGAACTTCTTTACGTCCATGTTTTCCTTGTGCTGGGGGCCCCAGAGCAGAACACAGCACTCCAGGTGGGGTCTCATGAGAGCAGAGCAGAGGGGGACAATCAGCCCTGCTGGCCATGCTGCTTTTGGTGCAGCCAGGATACGGTTGGCTTTCTGGGCTGCAAGCGCACAGTGCTGCCTCATGGTCAGTGCTGGCTTCTCATCAGCCGACACCCCCAGGTCCTTCTCCTTAGGGCTGTTTGCAATCCATGCTCTGCCCAACCTCTCTTTATCCTTGGCAATGCCCCGGCCTAGATGCAGGACCTTGCACTTGGTCTTGTGGAACCCCATGATGTTCACACAGGCCCACCTCTCAAACCTGCCCAGGTCCCTCTGGATGGCATCCCTTCCCTCCAGTGTGTCATCCCTTCCCACACAGCTCAGTGTCATCAGCAAATGTGCTGAGGGTGCACTCGATCACACTGTCCATGACATCTACAAAGATGTTAAACAACGCTGGTCCCAGTACCAACCTCTGAGGAACACCACTTGTTTCTGGTCTCCACCTGGACGTTGAGCCGTTGGCCAAAACTCTTTGTGATCATCCAGCCAATTCCTTACCCACCGAGTGGTCCATCCATCAAATCCACACCTCTCCAATTTAAAGACAAGGACATCATGGGGGACAATGACAAATGCTTTGCACAAGTCCAAGTAGATGATGTCAATTGCTCTTCCCCTATCCACCAATGCTGTAACCCCATAGTAAAAAGGCCCTTAGTGAAGTCATGTTGGCTGTCAACAGTCACCTTTTTTTCCATGTGCCTTAGCCTAGTTTCCAGTAGGATCTGCTCC